CAATAGCTTCATACCTCGCACCTCTCGTCTGTGGAACACCCTTCCCTATTACTGTTTCTTTGAGAGCTATAATCTCCAGCTATCCAAATGTAATGTCAATCGACATCTCCAGTTACCTTGATCTATCCACTATCCCTCTCCTCATCCTTTCTTCTATCACTCCTATCTGCTCTCGCTCCAAATCTTCTGCAACCCCCTGCATCCTAGTGACTTCATGCCTTGCTCGGGGCGTAATCCTTAAGAAAAAAATTCTTTATGAATATTAAATTCTATTTTGTATTTTCTATAATATTTGGACATTGGAATTATACTCCATTTGAACATAATTTACATTGAATATATATATATATATATATATATATATATATATATATTGAATGTTATATATATATATATATATATATATATATATATAGTGAACAATAAAAAAAATATTAAAAGATTAAAATCTTCAGACACACTGGGTTGTAGATTAATATTCTTTTTCATTTTTATTATTATTATTTTATTTAGATTCCTAAACTAGTTTCAGCCGACATGACCATCATCAGGAGAGAAAAAAATATTCTGCTTGCTGGTAGCAGTGAACTACAGAAATGAATGTCTTGATGGAGAAAATGAACTTTTGTCTGTAGTTTCCATTTGTATGTATATATATATATATATATTATAACAAGTGTTGTTGTATTCGATGTCGTGGATGAACCCTTCGAAGTTCATATTCTGTTAGAGTCATGTTTAATTACTTTTGGCAATCGAAGTCATTATGTAGAACCAACGTGCTGCTATTTTTGTTCTTTTCCAGTGTGATGCGTTTTCTGTTGTTTATTTATTACCATTAATATATATATATATATATATATATATATATATATATATATATATATATAAAGAGCCAATGGGTGTGGTATTACATGATTGCATTTATGTATCTGTTTCTAACATGTTATTCATATAATTCTTAATAAATATTATTAAATCCTATATTGTATTAAGCACTTTTTTGTAGTATTTGTAATTATACTCTATTTGAACCTAATTTACACTTGTATATATACATATATATATATATATGTGTGTGTGTGTGTGTGTGAGGAGGCACGGTTGAGTAATGGATAGTGGCCCGGAGTTCGAATTCCAGTCGAATCCATTATATTCACTTACGTGTTAATACCCTTGGAAAAGGTATTAATCTTTTCTTCTCCCTCCAACTATGGATAAATAGAAGGACAGACTGGGTGCTATAGCCTTGGATGGCAACTGGTCTAGGAGAAGGACAACTCTGAATTCAAAACCTGGAGGGTCGTCTAGGAACCTTGTCGCACGTAGTGTACCAGGTCTCTAAATTCAGGCTTTCAAAAAATGTGGTTCGATCTGTACAAAGCCGTCATCACTATAATCAAATCATATATGCTAGTGTCTGGGATGTCGGTTCTCAACTGTTTCACCCTCATACGTCGAATACGACGGGAGAGTTCACCATATATATAATTAATATGAGTAAAATTTGTCACTTAGCTGATTGATGCTGCATTCAGAATGCCGACTCCAGAGTTTCGTAGACGAACCGGTCCGCCATTCTCCAGGGTTAATGTCCTTCTACCCATTTGCTAAAGCGGCTAGCCAATCTCTGTTGCAGAAGCTTACTCAGGCTCATTTGTATCTTAGTTACAATTTCTGTAAGAGAGCGAATAATATAGCTGGATCGACAGTTTCGAAACTTCGAGTTAGCACAAACGTATTTGCCTTTCGTACAACAGTTTCTTCTATATGTTTCTCGCAAGGGTTGGATTGACTCGTGGTATCGTTCTCAGGCACTTTCCAACAGTGTCGTCCACTGGGATCGCCTCCCCAACTTCCGATAACCTCAAAAAATCATCTCTCTATGATCAGATTCCATTTCTCGTCGTTCGCACTTTAAAACATCATTGAATATGACAGATCTGCTTTAAGTTTCTTCATCTTTGTGGAAATTGTCCAGCATTAATTTCCATGCGTCAGGACCGATATCACGTAACAGTCCAGCTGAATAAATCACCGAGAGACGGAAAAGGGAAGCCACTCCTCTGTCAATTCCCAAGAAGCTAAATTACTCTCTCTTAATCATCTAAGAGACCCTTTTCTGCCTTCCATCAGCATGGCTGATGCTAAACTCCAGGAAGGCGACTCCTTGCGCCTTCTCATACTAACGTTCTCAGCTGACATGAAATGGAAAGACTATATTGAATTCATTGCTAGGTCAACTTCCAAGTAAGTTGGTTCACGGTGTCGTTCCGGACAATTTTTCCAGAATTTATCAAACATATCTATAAATATACCATACGTCCATATATAGGATTTTGCTGCCACATAGAGTCCAGTGCTCCTGCTATTTATCTAGAGCTCCTTGATAAAATCCAAAGTAGAATCAGCAATATTATCGGCCCTACTCTGGCAAATTGGTTTCAGTGATTTTCTCTGTCTTTTCTATAAATACTTTCATGATAATTGTTCGCTATGA